GCGCTGGCTTGCATGGGCATTCCTGACCTGCGGTGGAAGGCTGTCCTCTTCGTGTACCTGCCCTTCCGAGATGCAGAATTCGTGCAGCCTTGGCTGGACAGCTATTTGGACTTGGAGATGTGGTGGAGTCTCTGCCCCGAAGCATCATGTGTCGTGTGATTTGTTTCCCTTGACTTTTGGCACCTTTGGGAAATGGCTTGCATGGCAGTTTCCACTCTCCGCTCGGCCAGGAATCCGGAGAACTTCAAAGAAGGAGAAGTTGCAGAGATGCACGTCGCAGACTACTCCTGGGATTCTTGAGCTTGAACAGGTGATGTCCGCATTCGGGTGCGGTTTTGATTTTTCCTTGGTCAAACACCAAGGCTCCCATCTTCTCGAACCCTTGACACCAATCAGCGAAGCACGAACAGTGAAGCATGCCCGGTCGGGACGGGCCAGGGCCTTGCCGCAGTTGGGGCCAGGGCCTTCGCGATGTTCTCAGCCATACTGTGAATGGACGCTCTCCGTTCGCACCACTTTGAAACCATGGGAAGCTAGTGTTGTTGGTATTTACAAGGGAATCGTCACTCCAGGGTTTCTCAGGTGGTGCAGGATTTCGTCCATCCACAGTACTTGGAAAATTGGGGTTTGTTTTTCCGAAGGTTCCCATTGATCTGTGGCTGGTTGGATGTGCCGGAAGGGTCTTTGCGAGAGGCGCAAGGTTCCAGCGGACCGGTTCCCCAGTTTCCGGAAGGTTCCCGGAAGATTCGGGAGTTGGGAATGTCTTGTATTGGTAATGTTGACCCCATGTTAATCAACCCTTGTTTTTTCATAGGGGGGTGTCCCTGGGTGAAATGTTGGGAATCAGACCACTTTTGGAGGCGCCAAAAACTGCCTCCCTATGAATAAACAAGGGTTGATTACTATGGGGCCAACATTGGCCACCTCGTTACATCTTGGCATTGAGTCATCCCATGGCGGCTGCCCCTTTTCTTTTTTTTCCCTTTCCCCACCGGTCGAGCCTCAACGGGACGGTTAAGGAGAAGATGGAGCGCCTGTCGGAGGGATTCCGCAAGCCCATCGTGGCGACTCGTTTTCAGAAAAGCGCGGGTGGTTGTGCGTCCGAAAATGAATGTATCCTGTTAAAAGTGTTTTTGGTTGGAACAAGAATACTAAAACAGTGACAGGTCCTTGTCCTTTTTGGTAGACACCCCCATATGATGCGCAACAGTTTTTCTTGTCTGAAGGTTTTTCTTTGAAATGGGTTTCGTTCCAAGAGGTGTTTCAAGAGGATGTGTTCCTTTGCAATGATTCCAGGGTGGTTTCCCTTTAAAGACTGTTTAATGTGGTTTTCTTTTGACAAGGTTTGCCGAATTCCTGCAGGCTTCCAGAAGATTTCCGGAAATGGTTATCCTTTCGAGCAGTTCCCCGAAGTAGTTTCCTGGAAATCACAACTTGTGGTTTCCCCTTGAACAACCCGAAGGGGGGCATTCTCCAGGTTGAGTTGATGACTCCCCCCTATGAGTGTCTCCTTTCTGGTGAGATCAGATATGTTGAAGGAGTCCGGCATTGAGGGAAATGAAAGACATGCACTGCCAGACAGTTTTTCCCATTCAGATGCAAAATGGTGTTGCGGTTTTCTGAAACGGCTTCGCTACCGTTTCCCCACAAGGGTCTTTTTGCACTCGTTTAACTCATGTCGATTTCCTTTTGCCACGAGTTGAAAAGGGGGTTCAACTCGCCTTGCATGCACAATATCTTTTTGGGGATTGAATTGACAGCGAAGGTGTTGGACAAACAGCTCGAGTCCTCCATGAAGGATCATTTCAGGGCGGGCGGGTGGGTGCGGGTTCTTGTGTCAGAGTTTGGAGTGTATATCTTTGGCAGATGACAGGCACTGTGGTGGACGCAAAATGGATTTTCGAATTGACATGTTTAGATGGTGTGTGTGTGAAATAAGCTTAACATCTCATCCAGACCAGCGGAAAAGAGTTGGGGATACGTCAAAGCAGGGCCCCTTGTCAGTTGAAAGGGAAATCATCATGGCAACGTGTTTGGAGGGCTCCAACTGGATGCACTGCCGTATCCACAGAATGAGCAATCCGTTTCTTTCAACCACAAGGTCATCTACATCTTCCAATCATGCATGAAAACATCTACAGTGCTTCGTTAAGAGCAAAGAAGCAAAGATTCCCTGAAACCTAAATGGTCTTCTTGGTCTCCTTCAGATTCCTTTCATGGGAGGCCGTGAAGCGTCGGCGGTTTCAGCGTCTCGCTGAGGTCCGGGGCCTTTTGAACGACACCAGAGGCTCCCAGAACTTCCTCACGCCCCAGTGGGTGGAGTCCCACGGCAACTCGACCGAACATTTTTGTGGCGCGGAGAAGAAAAACAAAAATCGACACCGGCTCGCTCCCGGAGTCCCGGAGCCGACCGGCGCGGGCTGTTTCTTAGGTAACTCACAAAAGTGGTAATTTTTTTTCTTTCTTCGAATGGGAGGGCCCTCTCGGTTGGCAACTGTTGGTTCATTTATGTGGATGCACACCTCGTATCTCGGTTGCATGATTGGCATGCCGGGGCTGCATCAGTCTTGGGCCCTTTCTGCTTTTTCCAGTTGCCCAGTGCCACCCCCTTCACACTCTTTCGGAGTGTGCTTCCTTTCGAGATTTCAAGACACTCGAAGCCTTCCCTGACCAGCCGAGGAGACTTCGACATGATCGAGGCCGTTCCCCGGGACGACTTCAAGTTCGCGTACACCTACCGTGACGTGAAGTTCTCGGAGTACGTGGAGGCCATCCGCCAAGGGATCTATCGCTACACCAACGGCCTGGATGAGATGGTGACTCGCTACCCCGACATCGCGGAGGACATGGGCCTGGAGCGCATCGGGGTGCCCCAAGGGTGCAGGGCATTGGCGCTTTTTATCAACGGAGGTGGAAAGGGGCTGCAGTGGCACAACGCCAACAACGTGAACCTGGTGGGCATGTACCGGGGCACCAAGATCTGGGACGTCCTAGATGGCAAGTACTCGGTCTTCTTGGGGGTTGAAATGGTCGTCGATCCCTTCAGCACTGGCTTTAACTCCTTAAAGGGCAAGAGCACCTGGGATCGGCTGCCGGTCCGTGAAGTGGCGTTGAACCCCGGCGACGTCTATGTGAACCCATCATGGTATTGGCACAAAGTGAGGAATATCCCGGACCCAGAGACGGGGCTGGTCTTCATGAACAGCTGCAGGTGGTCGGATGTCACGGCCAGCCTTCGCGCACAACCTGCACTTGAATTATTCCGGCACTTTGGGCAGTACACCTGGGTCCATCCAAGTTTGCCCACCGTGCTGCGCCACTCAGTCGCCCAAATCCAGCCTGACTTGTCGGTTCATGTTGTTCACGTTTGGCAGCCACTTTTAGGGCCACTCCCCACAACATAGAGCCCCAAAAAGGGGCAATTAAAGGGTGTGTTGGTTCCAGACTATCTTCCGAGAGGAAGCTGTTGCTTGGTGCCAAAGGGCAGCTGAGGTTGGGTTCCTTTCGCCCGAGTTGTGCAGGACGGCATCCGCGAGGCAATGGGCTGGATGCCCCGCTACGGCGAGCCCGGCTATGAGGATGACTGCTACAGCTCCAAGGTGTCAGCGTGCGAGCGCAAGTTCGCAAAGCTTGGCTTGCCAACACGGGCTGAGCGATGAGCACTGTTTTCTTTTTTTCTTTGCTACTGCCATGGTCCATGGCCGTGTACTCTCTTGATCCTAAAAGGGATTCTGCTGCAAGAGATTGTTTTTCCACATGTTGACAGTACACATTTTCAAGAGTGTAAGCGCTGCTCAAGCGCTTCGTCACATCGGCGCAAGCTGTTTGTCATGAGGTTTAGTCATAACTTCCATCAGTCTATAGTTCATTTGGTAGGGACATGGGACTCACTATTTAGATCGTCCGGCTCAGTCCACCAACAAGGAATGTTGACTGTACCTGATGTCATCTTGTCGGACCCCAGACCGCCTCTCTGCCAATCAGTTTGGGTCACCCTGCTGCCTGCCTTTGTAAACCAAAAGCCTGGCGCGGATTGATTTGTCAATCTCCATAAGGCTGGCGCATCGCTCAGCCTTTTGTCGCGCCAGAGCTTCAAGATATGCACTCTTTGTTCCGCCGCAGCGCAATCAATACTTGTGCCAAGACAGCCTGCGGCGAGTAAAAGATGCAGTTGCAAAATGGGCTCTCATCACGAGCTATTCAGCAAACTTGGGACACTACGTTGTGTGGAAACCTGAATCACACCAAGTTTCCGCACTTGGGTCTTGTGCAGTCAACTAAAGATTGGAGTGGTCGTTCGAGACGAGATAACGTCCATGGTTTTCCCTGTCAGTGTGTGCGTGTTCAAGGACCTTGATTGGCATCCAGCTTTTCATAGACAACATGCAACCGCCATGCAACCGCCCTGCCTCTTTCGAAGAGAAGGAAGAACATCAAACGAAAGGGTGCCCCTTTCTTTCCCATGACCGGTTGCCAAATCGTGGTTCCGGTGCGGTTTGGGCCCCGCACATGGGAACACAGGCGCTTCGCCACCAGGAAGTCGTAACTTGATCCGTGAAGGTTACAGGCGCTTGGTTTGGACACCAAGCCACAACGTGCAGAATCCCATCAATGACAGAAGCTTTGGGAGGAACAGACATGCATTTTGGGTCCTGTGGGGTCTCTGGCAGGGGTCCATCCTTGGGCAAAGGCCAGTTGGCCAGACCAAGAACTCCTCTCTTTAACGCAAACAGACAACTTGGTGTCTGCTTTGGGTTCCCTTAAAGAGAACATGTTGAACGTGATTTGGTTTCTCTTGGATCCACAAGGATTTGAGCTATACCAACACCCAGTTTGGTTTGAAGGGTCTCAGTGCTCTTCAAATGGCTTGGCCATTTCTCAACCAAGACCTGGGGAACCCTGAGCACAATCGATCGGCATCAGGTGCTGTTTCTTCGATCGGCTGTGCCTCGATTCACTTTTGATAGAATTGGTTCGGAGGTTTGGTTTCAACAATCACCAGGGGTTCACATCAGTGCCAACCCAACCCACGCAGGAAGCCGGCCCTGAACCTTCTTCCAAGCAATTAGGGACATTTGTCCACCGTCAGCAACCAATCCACCAATCCAGAGCGTTAAAGCATCACTTGAGGCAGAACAGAAGCAGTCAGGCTCGCTTTGGATCGCATGGATCTATTTTTTTGTGGGTTCTGTCCAAACAAACTCAGAAGGAAGCTGAAGCTTTAGATAAGGTTCCCGACGTATTTCCCCAAGGGGTTGAACATATCACCTTTCGGTTGCCAACTTAGATTGATTGCTATTGGATAGCGGATCTGGCGACTTCAGTTTCTTGGTTGACATCAGTTGGGTTTTCCATTGAACCCACAAAAGGTTAGCCAGACTTCTTGAGGGGGTGTTACAGCAACCAAGTTGGATTGACAGAAACCTTTTGGTTTTTCTGCGAGACTTGGCCATGGGGCACAACCTGTGGCGATCCCATTTTGGGGTGGATGAATCTCCATTTGCCAGCTGTTTTGATGTTCTTTCCAGGGTTTCCCTGGATTTGAGACCACCACCGCCACTGGAGGAAGCGCAGCGCGCGTAGGCACGCTGAGCCGAGCTCGCGAAGGCGCGGGGCCGGCGAAGAGTCCGTCTCCCGAGGTCCAGGGTGCAGAGCCACGCGCTGCTGCTGGCGAGCCTGAAGAGCCAGGAGACGGCTGAGAGCGAGGCAAGTGGGGCTTCGCCGCAAGTGGGCCTCAACCGCGGTCTGGATAGTGGCTTTTGGATGGCTTTCTCCGGCTCATTTTTTGGGGTGTCTGGAAAACCAGGGTGGTGGATCACTCGGGGTTTGGCCCAACCACTGTGATACTTTTGGGAATTTCTCCCTTTTGGGGGGGGGGAGTCTGTGGGAAGCCCTTTCTGTTGTACAGCAGTGGATTCCATTTCCCACAGGCCTGCTCAAACTGGACGCTTCTTTGTTGGTACGAAAAACGGGAACACTCCTTCAGACGAACAGCTGGAAGCTCCCCTCAATTGGCCTCTGTAAATGGAACCAAGTCTTGGGGTCCTGGGAGCTTCCATGCTGGACGGACCCCTATTTTAAGGGTGGTCTCCTGGTGGTTTCCAGGTTAAAATAGCCACCAAAAGGCCAGCCTCGACAAAAAAAACACGCCTGTGTTTTCCTTTTTGCTGGTTTTACACATCACCTTGGCGTAAACGGCATGAAGCTGAAATCGGGATCTCCGATCCCGATACTATTTTACATAGGGTTGGACCAGACATATTCATTTTGTGAATCCGCAAGACGGCCGAGATTTTGTGGTTGGAGGTGCCTTCTGCCTCTCACGGGTCCCACGGGTCCCACGCCTTCGTCTCCCCCGTGCCCTCGCCTCAGTGACTCAGGGCGTCCAGCGCAAGGCGGGGCTGAAGAGCAAGAAGCAGGCGCTGAAGGCCAGTAAGGAGGAGCTTCCGTCGCTTTGGCTTTGGCGAATCCGTGTTGGGCCCCACGTGTTGACCATGGGAAGGTTCGGGTTCCAGGAGGGTTCGTTCTGGGAGGGTTCTGGGAGGGTGGTGGTGCTGTTGGGGATATCGCCTGAGCTTATTTGTTATGGCCATGGGGTCTTTTGGTTTAAATGTAGAGGTAAGACACCCAGGTTGGATCCAATACCTGGCCAATGGCGGTTCCCACTTTGAATGGCAAAGAAAACATGCGTGTGAAATCGCAACCTCACAAAGTGTTCAGGCCTGAGATAGTGACAGGGCCCCATGAGGAAGGTTTTGTTTGTCTATTGCAAGCTGCATATGTTTCAAGGTTGGTGAATTCTTCTTCACGGTTGCACGGGAGCGTCATGAATCCAATGGTTCTAAATGGCCCTGAATGGTCCCTATTGGCCCCTGATAGTCATCATCAGGCTGCATTGGTGCTGTGGCGGCCAGTCCATACAGGGGTTTGAGCTTTGGGGGGCGCAAGTGGTCGTGGCCTGTCACGGGGACTTCACCTCTAGTTGGCTCAAACACGGGGGGACCCAAAAGATGTATTGTTCCGCAAAACCCTGCTCCAATTATCAGGCCTCATACTATCCTCCAACAACACATGCACAAGTCTGGGTGCTTTTGTTTTGATGAATTCCCCTCACCCCAGGCGCCCCTTTCTTCGAGCAACCCAGCAAGGGCTGCTGCTCTCTTTGCGCCAATTAAGACATAGCCTTAACTTTGTGCTCGGACTGAGTTGAGCCGATCTTCTTGAGGGCCATGGATTGCAAGCGAACTTACATGATACCGAGCGTTCAGAACAGCCGCAATTTTCGACGCTCCCAATCAGCTCGGTCATTCCTGGTCATACACTTAATAGACGTTGTGGAACCCAAATGTGATTTCAGGTCGGTGAGTGATCCTCTACAGTCACCCTTTTCAAACCAGGTACCTGTGATTTTGCGGGGTCCCTGTGTTGCTCAAAGAATGGGAGCAACAGCCAGACCACTCGACCCTAAAGCAGAACTATGCCACCTAAGCGGCAAGACTAGACTAGACAAAATTGGGGGGCCTCAATCGCTCTACCCCCACTTTTGTTCATTATTAGATCAAGATGTGCACTAGAAGCCCCCAGTGCAATGCAAGCCCCCAAATAGCTAGAATGGGGTTCTGGGTGCTTCAACACCAAATCTAGACATGACCATAAGAGAACGTACATTTGGTGGCCTCGACGCGCAGTGGCACCGAGCCTACCTCACTCGTGGTTCCTTTTTTGGCGAGGACGAGCTTGCCACCACTGTCTCCTCCAAGGACGAGTTGGGAAGGGGAGCGGGTTGGGATATGATTTTGCCTATTTTTTGGGTCTCGCTCTGACCGATTGGGGGGCAAAAGAGCACATTCCGCGGTGTAGGTCCTTTGCTTGGGGGTCGTTATTTCACGCTTTAGAACACTTGTAAAAACTGCGGATTCTTCTACAACAGGAGTTGTAGTCAGGACACCAAGTCCCTTTTCAGGTGAAGACTTGTGTTGCGAACGATGGGAAAAGGGAGCAGTGTCAAATCAAGAATCAAAACAGACGGGCAGTTTGACGGAAAGGAGATGCGAATGAGATTCATGGAAAATCCGGTTTCGGAAACATGGGAATGATAGAGTTTGTGTTTTCAGCTTGAGCCAGGCCAGACACGCCCCAATGTTTTTGTCGATATGTCCGGCCAATGTGCATCATCGATGGCGTTGGCGTTGTTCCTTTCTTTTTTCTTCTTCCTCTTTTTCTTCTTCTTCTTTCTCTTTATATATATATATAACTTTGACGCATTTTGTCCGTCATGCCACATTCTCTTGATTCTTGAGGCTGCAAAAGATCCCAACCTACGAGGGGGCTTCTTAAGACAGTCTGAATCTATTGGCGCATTCCACGCCGAATGGATGGCCCGCCGGTGCTTCACAGGCGAAGAATTGGCGAGTAACTACCCAACTCCAGAAAGGAGTAAAGCCTATCCGAGCAGTTCTTTTTGGTGTCCCTTGACTTGAGCGATTCCCTGGTACATGATTGCCCTCCCTGTCCAATGGTCAGATGGGTATTTGCTTGGGAGGCCCTGTCAAGGCCTCCTGGGCCCTTGCTTGTGGAAACTGTTTGCTCACGGGGCGCCTGGAGGGCCCGCCTTACGTTCAGAAGCGGTCGGCGCCGTTCTGTGCGGCAGGGTGTGGCTGGTTTTAGGAGCTCCATGTCAAGAGCAAAAGGGTCAAGCTTTAAAGGACGGGGCATGATGTAGGTACTGGTCCATTTTCATGCGGGTTTTAAAAGACCAAAGTGACCGGTCTTTTATGAAACAACCGAAAAGGGGGCCATCTTGGAATCCCACACTGTTCATACTCTTTTTTGAAGTCTGTTTAAAGTCAAGTATCGTATCATCAAGCGTCTGACAAGCGTCGCCTTTTTGGAAACTTGGGTCAGCCCGCAACAAACCCTTCATTTGATGGGTTTCGACCTTTCCAATCCGGGGTATAAAGAGCGAACACATGCGAACAACATGATGAAGGTGCTTTACGTGAGGATCCACTGCTTATTTGGCTAGTTATGAGTTTTAATCGTGAACCCCGCAAAAGTGGTGGGGGGACATAAATGCCTTAAATGGTGTCACCAAAGGGTCCTCAATTCATTTTCTGCAAATGGTAGCCTCCCTCCCACTAACACGGCGCCTGACAGATGGTCTCGAAAAATACTGTTGCTCTTCCAGGTGCCCTCCCCAGCTATCTTAGTGGGAAGAAGGATATTTGAAGTTTGAACCGTGCCAAGCTCGGATTCCTCTGAAAAGGAGGATACCAATCATGTCCACCAACCATTTCTTCCCCAGAGCTGGCTTTTTTGCGCTTTTTTGGGGTCCGCTGTGTTTTCCACTAACCAGGCAAACCATTCAGTTTTTGCCGGGGTCCTAATTCCAGCCAAGATTTGGGAGGGCAGTCGTCAATAAGTTCATAGCCAGAAAGTAAAAGTGCAGATCCTCGATGCGAATCGAGCGAAAGGATGCCGACACCAAGTACCTGGATGCTCGAAGCCCCAGATTCGTGTCGGTGTCGGTTGACACTCAGCTCAGCGCACCGTTTCTGGTTGTCTTAGAATAGACCCAACATGGGTGTCCTTTGGTTCTCTTTCAAGTATCCAGAAATCCAGAAACGGTGCCATCAAATTCACGGACACTCGTCTAGACTTGGCAACCACCCCAAGAAGGCTGCCATCAAATGCACAGACTCGTCTAAACTTGCCATCAAAAAACAGACACTCATCTCAACTTGACACTCCGTTGTTCCAGCTGCGAGCTTTTGCTGCAAGCTTTGGGATACCATTTGTGAACGAGAAGTGCGGCCACCAAGCGTGCAATCATGCCACTCCCATGAAGGTGTACCTTGTTTGGGGGTTTTCTTTCCGGCGGATGGCTTCAAATAGCACCGTAGTTAGTTCGTGCTTTCCAGTGCGAGCAAATTGCAAGCGCCCCTGTTCCTTTCGGGGCCAAATGCGTCCATCTCTCCTGCCCAAACTGAACATGTCGGCGCTCCATCGAGCATCCCACCGCACCAACCTCACCGCGGGAAAGCTACCCTTCCAGCTTGTCTACCTGTCTTTGTAGCTGACTACTCAATGACTTATTACATTGGCAGTCATCGCAAGCTGGTCAGCAAGGCGCAGGTAGCAGCAAAGAATGGAGTAGCCACTTGGCTGTGGCTCAAAATTACACAGGAGGGGTTACGTGGGTTTTGGTCTGTGTTTCCACTTACCAAGGTTCCGTTTTGGAACCGGTTTTTTGAGCCACTGCCATTTAGTCATCCTTGGCGAGTTTGTAATCCTGAGCTATGCATCAATTCCTTAGGAGTTTGCCTCCGAGAGGCGGATGCGCGTCTTGGGTTTCCCAAGCTCTCGCGATTCCATGTTCCTACTGAGTCAGGTAGCTAGTTGGCAAATAAACTCGTTGGCTGGTCAGCTCGTAAGCTGCTTGGCTGTTAAGAAAACAATCTCCAGTTAGCCAGTTGGCTAGCCATTTGGACAGTGTGTCAATGAGTCAAATAGTTTTGAACATTGTCATCTCTGGCTAGTTGGTTCACGAGCTAGCTACGCGGATACGTAGGTAAACAGCTGCTTGACTAGTTAGACGACTCACTTGCTGGCTAGCTAGTTCGTTTCCTCGCTAGCTAGTTCATGAAGTATTCTAGTTTGTGAATTACAGAGATGGCTGGCCAATCAGTCACTTGCTTTTGTGCTACTTAGCTACGTGCGAAAGTTGGCTCAGCTACCTCGCTAGTGGCTAGCAAGTGCTACTCAGCGAGCCAACGCTCGCCAAGTAGACTCACCAGTCAGCTCTTCGTTATTTAGCTAGCGGGCCAGAGGCGTCGGCTGATGCGCAAACATATTTTGTGAGGGTCAAGCCTGAGGGGTCCGCAGAGGTTCACCATTTTTGATCGCGCAGGCTGAAACTTGTTCGGGACCCCGAAAAGAAGGACAACAAAAGCAGGTGGCTTCTCGAGAAAGCATAGAGATTAGTGGTTCTTTTCGAAGAACCCCAAAAGGTTTTAGTTTTGGCCCCACTTTTTTTAGTTAGGGCCCCAAAGGCTTCACCCTGAAAATTTCTGGGTCCCGGGGTCCCGGGGCAACTGAGACCCACGGAGGTTCCTTCCGGGCTTGGGCTTCGGCTGAGGACGTGAGCTCCACTTGCCGGCAGAAGGCGATGGGCTGGACAGGTCCCAAGGCGGTTTTTCTGGGACCTCGACCCAAAATGGGGCGACCCAACATGGGACATGTTGGGTCATTGATCTAGGTTTTTATTAGGTTGGATCTTTAGACGTGACGTGAACACTTTTTGGTTGAGCATTATTCGGGTTTTCCGCTGAACCCACAACGAGCTAAGCTTTTGGCAGGGGGGCCAGCAGCAATCAAGCTGTGGGTTCCCCCCTCAAATGAGGCTTCTCAGCGGCACTTCTCGCATTTCCGCGTGCAAGCTCAGGTGATACTGCGGATGGACGAAATCCTGCACCACCTAAAAACCCTGGGGTGATGCTTCCCCTATAAATACCAAGAAGCAATGGTGCGAAATGGATTTCGTCCACCCACCGTATGGTTGCATACCCTATGTGTATTCCTTCGAGCTTCTGCTCTAGTTTGTAGTTCCCCCAGTTCTGCCCAAATTGGGACCCTGTTTGACATCTTTTCGAGACGTCCCGTGGTAGTACTTGCAGGTGCACACGCATATCGCACATGCTCGTGTAACACAACCACACACACACACATGCATAGTTTCAAATGACGGTATGTACACATCATTGTCCATAGAGTTACGCCTTTGTGTGTGCGTGTATTATACATATATATTTGTATATATATATAACACACGTATACACGACATGCGACGTAACACTGCATACAAATTCTGCTTCCATTCATGTGGATTGCCTGCAAAAAGCCTTGACTTTCAAAGCTGGGTTTCTCCGGTTCCAGTCTCGGACCGAAGCGGCAGCTTCTTTTAACGTGCGATCTGCTGGTGCCATTCGGAAGCGACGGCAGTAGACTCGGGGCCCCTTGTTGGTAGTTGAGTTGGGGGTTCTGGTTGAAGGGAAGCACCGGACAGGCCAAGCATCTCGGGGATTTTTGTTGGACACCCCCAGCTCCCTGAGACGTCAGACCGTCAGACCCCACGACACCGGCGGCGTTTTTCTTTGGCAGAGAGGCCGCGGACTTCGAGTCCAACCAGAAGCTGCGCACAGAGGAGCTGCAGGACGGAGATGGCCATGGGTCAAAATCTACCAGCGGACATCCGAATGCCCACTGAAATAGGTTCCAAAATGGGTGGTGAATTAATTCACCTACCAACCAAAATGGGATCCCATTGGTTTTGACCCACAGCCCTATGTGCTTGTTTTGTCGGAGGTTGAGCGCCTTTTCAAGGTTGGCTTGAAAGGAAACCAAGACTTGGTGGCTCCCAGCCACCCCCTTAGCTTCTTAGCTTTTCGGTGTTTGGTGGGCGTTTCCATTTTAAGCCACTTTTGGCGGGGGATCTGAGGACAGCCAGAAGACGTACAGTGCTGGTTCCTGTTCACCAGTGTTCCACCCATTACCTATCCCGGCTTCTTCTCAGCTGGGATAGGTCTGGACAGCCGATGGAGCCAGAGGGTCACTGGGAGGCAGCCAAGTTAGCCATTCGCCTTGGAGGAACCAGTACTCTTCACAAAGCGCGTGGTTTAAAGTTTGAAGGGATGAGTTGACAAGAGCCACCATGTTTGGTCCCTGTATTTTGATAAAACCCCTACCTTTTCTCTGGACCTACACTTGAATGGCACCAAACACGCCTTGCGACGTTCGGGAGATATTTCGGCCTTCGGCTTTCGGCTTCCGGCTGGGGATCTTTTTTTCGGGAGGCCCCGGTGTTGGGGATGTTTTGGTTTGAGTGGGGGGAATCAAAGACTTTCAGGAGTCTTTTGGGGCAGAATGGGTCTGCTTTGTCAGGTACCCCCTAGTCCATTTGGATTGGTTTGGATTTGACATCTTGGTGGTAGAGGGTAAATGGGACACGGAAGACCACGAAACCCACCAATCCCAACCACTCAGTGGGGAGCTGTTTGTTATTGTTTGTGAGTGAGACGTTTTCTTCCCAAAGGGTTTGGTTGCAGGACAATCAGGAACTGGCCCAAAAGACCCTCATCATAAGCTGTTTTCCTGCAACACAAGCAACCCTGGAACCCTGCAAATACTCAAAAGTACTGGATTCCCATGGTTTCAACGTGGTGCGAAATGGATTTCGTCCATCCACAGTATGTCCTTTTACCCTTTGATTGTTGGGACGTTTTTTTGGGGGGCCGCGGGCACCTGGAAATCGGCAGGCAGTGGAGCAGGCTGTGCAGATTGTGCCCGGAGCCCGACAAAGAGCGTTGCGTGCCGAAAGGGCGGGCGGCAACGCCACTGGAGATGCGCGCTATTTTTTTTGGTCCAGGGTGTTAATGGAATGAGCCGTTTAACGGGATTCCTAAAATAGGGAAACATGCTTTTTGTTTTTCCCCCGGTGATTCCAATTTATCATTCCCTGCCTATAGCACCAGCAAGTTCAATTCTTGTCGTTTCGTTTTGTCAGGGGCAGACGACATTTAGTGATGTTAAAGGTGGGAAGCAAGCCTAACTTCACCTTGCTTTGTGCGTGTGTGTGTGTGTGTGTTGCAGAAAGCCTGAACTTTGAGCAAACTTGAACTTCATGTTGTTTGGCAAATACGAAGTCCGGTTACTTTTGGCCACCAATTACGAAGCACACATTTTGGTTAAGTGAAGGTTTAGGGGCCGGTCCTAACCATAAACAGTTCTCCCGATCCCTCGAACGTCAGGTTCCATGTTTTGGTGGGAGGGTACTGACCGCCGCTCAAGTGAGCTATCCAATGGACCCAGGTCCAAGAAGCTGTCCCTGCTGGAAGTGAAGTGGCGAAGCCTGCTGCAGGCGCGGGGGGGGGGGGGGGCGGGGGGAGGACATTTCTTTTGGACTTCAGCCCATGAGGGTGCGACCTTTTTTGGAAGGTACCGTACCCCTTTTTGGGTCGGTTTAAAGGGGAAACTAGCAGGAAACGTCTAAAAACAGGCCTACACCCATGAATCAAGTTGCGTCTCACGTGTGCTTTGACTCAGGTCTAGGCATGGGCGACAGGGGGGAAAGGATCGGACAAATGGATCGCCCTTCCCTTGGACCCCCCCTTGGATGATTTTGCTTTACCGACCATATTGCCATTGAGCTTCGTATTTCGGGGCAACACTTGTTCAAGGCTCCATTCGTGAAATCCAAGAGACTTCGAAAAAAGAGCTCCAAATTACATGCGGCCATGGTAACTCTCAAACAAGATTCGTCCGTGTCCTCGTCTCCGGGCGGGCATCCCTCTAGCCTAGCGCTAGCGCAAGCAGGCTATTTAGTAGCCTGGAGAGTTCACCATGTAAACCCTGCAGGGAAAGAAGCCAACTGATTGCCTGCCATAGTGGCTCGCGAGAGGGCACTGAGTCAGGGCACAAAAACACCCCCTCCCCCTTTAAGGTAGGGGGGATTTCCATGTGCTTAAGAATATTTTGTTACCTTCCCCTGTCGTTTGAAACGAAATCTATCACTACTGGAAATATGCTTGTTGTTCCGTGTCCTTTCTGGCTGTTTCAAGATTCGACCGGATTCCCCAGCCAAATGGATGGATTCCACTGCTTTGCTTCTCATAGAACCCATCGGTTTTCTTCCGGGTGCCACTCCTGGCCCACTTCAAACTCTTGAGCTCTTGGCTCAGGTGAAGCACCAGGCGAGAGCGAAGCGGACCCACTGGTGAAGCCAAGGGCGGTCCTTTTGATGGGTTAGTTTGGTCAGAAATAGATGGGTTCCGCTGCTTTGGATGGGGTTTGATGCCCCATTGAACCAGGGAAATCCATCTGAATTTCCAGAAGGACGCCTATGTGGGTGCCCAGATTGGGCCCAATCTCGCCAATGTCACGCCACTGTCCCTTGGGTGCCTTTGACGCTCCCCCCCCAAAAAAAAAACACAAAGAAGCAGAAAACAAGCGAGCGACACGCCCACGCACGCTTGCCAGCCATCAAAGAAGGAGACCCCCTATTTTCTGGCAACACCCATCTAAAAATAGGGGAACCGCCATACTGGCGAGTTTCCTGTTGGTTTTCCTTTAACACCACACAAAACCAAAAAAAAGGGCGCACATATGGGTGTAGGGCACAGAGTTGCCAGCTGCACGTCCCCCCCGCCCCTTCCTGGTGTGTGGCCTTGCGTGGTGTGGGGTTGGTTGGGTTTGGCTTAGGCTGGTTTAGGGTTGGTTTCAGCGGGTTTTGGCTTGGGGAGGGGTTAGGGTTGATTTAGCTCCTAGAAAACCCATGCCATTTGTAGGGAGGAGGAGGAGGAGGGGGTTAGGGGTAGCAACATGGAACACGGGACCATATTGCATGGCCACGTGGCCTATGTAGTTGGGGGGCACATAATAACCACGCCCTCCCCCAACCCACTTTAGAAAGCTGCGTGGCTTTTTTTTGGTGGGCGGGAAAGGCGGGGATTGATCAATGTGAACTTTGGAGACATGACCGGGGGCCTTGCAACGTCCTGAAGGTCGCCTTTGACTCCTCCGGGTCGCGAATCTGAAGATTCACATGCAGGAGGTTTGTCAGTTTTTCATGCGCCCACGCTCGTCCGAACTTTGAGCTGTGTGGGAAGGTTATTTCAGTCTTAAAGCAGCCTGGACTTGCTTCGACGAATCCACTTCGGCGGCGAACTGCCAGCATTGGCAGCCATAGTTTTTTTTTGTTGCTCCGAGCCTTGCGATGATGATCAAAAGCTTCGGGGCAGACGTTTTGCGTTGGTTTTCTTTGGTGTCCTTCCATGAGAGACCCGTTTTCTGTCCTGCCGATGTGGTCTTGGGAGCAACCCTGTAATCAGAAGAGGCTGGCGGCCATCGAGCTGACCCCCAACTGCCGAACTGGCGTTGAAGCCTTCTAATACATGGAAGCCAACATAGGAGACCCCCCCAAATTGGTGACTTTCTTGTGGAATTTCTTTAGCGAAACCTGAAATCCTCAAAAGTACAACGGACGCAGACACAGGCGCAACCACAAACACCGTTTCGGAGGTAGAAAGAGGTCACCATGATGATGGTCCTTTTGGGGATCCATGTTTGGTTTCACGTTTTGTGGGTATGCGTCATAATGTCGACTTCATATTAGTAAACGGGGTCCCCCCCTCAACTTTTTTTCCTATTTGTTTTTCGGGCAAAGTACCGCAATAAAAACAATTGTACTTATAGTATTGCTTCTAGTACTTGTAGTACCTGTAGTAGTAGCTGTAGCACTTGTAGTAGTCCTTGTAGTACTGCTTCTAGTATGTGTAGTACTTGTAGTAGTGGCTGTAGTACTTGTAGTAGTGCTTGTAGTACTACATGTAGTAGTACTTGTACTGCTTTCTATATATGTGGTACTTGTAGTAGTGGCTGTGGTAGTACTGCTTCTAGTACTTGTAATTCTTGTAGTAGTACTTGTAGTACCTGTAGTACTACTTCTAGAGTACTTGTAGTACTGCATCTAGTACGTGTAGTACTACTTCTAGTACGACGAGTACTCGTAGTACTGCTTCAAGTACTAGTAGTACTTGTAGTACTTGTAGCAATACGACATCACTTTTGTAAAGAGACTTCATTTAAAAGCGGCACTTTCCGGGCATGTATGTTTTTTGGAGATCTGAGGTCTGTTGGGGAGCCTTTGAAGGTTCCAGTTATATAATTATCTTGCCTGGTACGCTGCACACTTGTTGCATGTGTCTCTGTGGCATCAACTTCTGCACGCTACTTGCTAACTTTTGAATCATTTTGGACTGGTTTGCTCCCTGATACGAAAGAACTTGTTTGGCTCGCCCCCGCGTTTCGGGGAATTTTATTAATGTGAGTTTTGTGGGTGGTTTATTCATGTTGTGCTTTGGAGGGTCGATTTGGGGGGGCGGTGTCGGCGGTGTTGTATGTTTGCAATTAACTTTTGAATTAGCTCTTCGTAATTAAGTATTGGGTGAAAAAGCGGGTCCGGTGGCCGAGATTTTAGTAATACGCCCCCCTTTACTAAACTTAGGTTGACATCAATAGGCGGACCCCAAAAAGCGATGCTTGTTTTGCTTTCCCTCTTAAAAATCCCCCCCAGGTCCCATGCTCCCCCACCGGTCGCTTTTAGCCAAGCCGGTTTTTGGCAAAGCGGCGCCTATCGCAGGCCACGTCCTTGGCCCTGCTGCGCTCTGTGCGCAACGACGAGCAGGTGAAGGCTGTTGGGTGTGATCAAAGTCAGACATTGGGGCCGTTTTGCTTTGACCAAGCGCTTGGGGGGGTGACTTTGATGCTAAAAATGAGGTTTCTGTATTTGCCCAAAAGAGGACCACAAATGGATTTGCGGTTGTGTGTTTGTGTGTATCTTTTAGAGTGCCCGTTTTGCTAGGCACAGGAAGGCCATCATTTTGGGTTCCCCCCTATTTCGATTTGAGCAGGTTCACAGTGGATACCAAGGTCCATGCAACAATGGAGTCATCGTCGTGAAGCTTAGAGAATCTTCATAATCCAAGCATGTCTAATATGGTGAGGGACCCCCTTTTGCGTGGTTTTAAAAAGACACCAAAAGGAAAGCCGAAGCCATTTTACGGGAATCCACCCGATGAAGTATGTGGACCCATATGGCTGTGGATCAAAAACCAATGGTACCATTTTGGGTAGGTGAATTCACCACCCATTTTCGTCTACTTTAGTGGTTGGATTGGTTGATGTTCACTGGGGGCTAACTGGGATTTTGACCCCATATGGCTTTGGGTCTTGGTCTCGCGCTTCTGCGCCGCGCATGCCAAGATGTTGAGGCGCGCCTGCTGGGGTTCCTGCAGCAAGAGGCGGAGCGGCTCCACAGCGCCGTCGGAACCCCCAGCCAGCGAGCGATAGATAAGCGATGGGCGGGCGTCCGGCCCAGGGGCGCGGCCACTTTTTTGGGGTTGGACCCAACATGGCCTCGGTGTTCCTGGTGTTCCTCTAAAGCCAAGGGAAAAAAGAGGGGTACCTCACAAGAGGCTCAGAAAAAGAGACCAAGTTTCAGCAGCGTTGGTCTAAACAACCAGACCCGGGTTGGTCTAGAGGTGTGCCTTGGGTGACAGCTTTGAGGGCGAGTCGACCGTTTCACCTTTGGGTTTGAAGCTTGTGCTTGGTACGTTCGGCTTCTGAGATGTCCTTTTCACATGTACGCAAAGAGACCCTGGCTAAGTTTCCAACAAAGTACTTCAAGCACAGCACAAACCATTGGAAGCCAGGGTTGTGGGATCAAGGGGCTTATCCCCACTTCTGTGATATAAGGAAATCTCCCCCTTTATGTGGGGCGTCAGTCTTGGGACGCCCTTTCTGTTGTATCACAGAAGTGGGCATTTCCCACGACCCTGTTGGAAGCTGCAGATCTTCAGGGCTGCTCCTGAAGCATCTTATCAAATCCCGTGCGTGGAAAGTTGGTTTAGGGTTTTGTGGTTTTCCTAAAGGGGTAACTTTTCTGCCCTTGTGACGATCGGGTCTGGGAGACACCGATGATGAATCAGTGATTGTTGATTCCCATCATGTCTTCCGGATACCCTTGAGTTTGGGTCGGTCAACTCCTGTTGGCCCTTTGTCAGGGCCCCCCCCCCCCCCACCCTCCAAACAGGGACCCCACCCCCAAAAGAAAACAAGCGAAACCATGAAAGTACCCTAGACTCTGTAGACGTTTGAGTTCTTAGCCACCTGCATTGAGATTGGGGAATCAATGTTAACCCCGGATTAAGCAGAACCCCAGGATTAATAGGGGGGGTGTCCCCTTCTAGTGGGGATTCAGGCCACTTTTGGAGGGAACACCCCCAAAAACACTTATAGGACGGGTTTATTTTTTTTCCTGGGTCGACATTAAGAGGTGCCAAGCATCGGACAGCTCCGCCGACACTAACGGGTCCCAGGCGCCCCGCCGAAAAAAAAATCCGCGCCGAGGCGCTGACCAACCTGCTGGAGCCGGCGGCGACCGGCGCGCTGGAGATGATCAAGCCGGGGGGTTCAGAAACGACGGCCGGAGATATGGCACTTGCCAGCACCGTTTTGGGATCCCATGTTGGGGAAGGTAGGTAGGTGAATTCTCACCACCCATTTTAGTCGGGATTTTAGTGGGGGTTGGGATGTTTAAGCTGTGGTGGGATCCCGTTTTGGGGAAGGTAGGTGAATTCACCACCGGTGGATTGGTTGATGTTTACTGGGGTTCCAATGTGGATTTTGACCCATGGTCATATGAGCATGGGTCAAGATGAAGCCACCATTCTAACCTCTCTACTGGCGGACCTAGGCACATATTAGTCCATGTCTCCATTTACCAGGGTTCCATTTTGGGTACCCTTTTTTGACCAAATGCCATATGAGCAACGGACAATATTGCAGGTAGTCTGTTCAGTTCAGGAGAAACAAAAATACCCTGCCCAATATCCCCCCCCATGTTCTCATCAAGAATAGGGGGCTGCCCAATTGAACCAAGTGCGGGTAATATTGGACCGTGGCTCATATCAGGGGGTTCTCAATTTCCCCTTGTGGACACCACCAAAAGTAAAAGTGGCGTTTGTTGGAAATCACAAGCATCAAGTGCAACTTTGAAGGGGGGTCCAGGGACCCTTGTGTATTTCCCCCGGACACGCACAAAGACACACACAAACAGACCCACACACACACACACAATCACACAAACACACACACACAAACACACACACACAAGCACACACACAAACACAAACTCACACAAACACACCCCCACACACACAAGCACAAACTCACACCCACACCCACACACAAATACACACAAACCGACACACACACAACCACAAACAAACATACACAACCAGACACAAACACAAACACAATCACACACAAAAACACAAACACAACCACACAGTCACACACAAACACACAACCACACAACCAACCAACCAACCAACCAACGAACCAAACAAACAAACAAACACACACACACAAACAAACAAACAAAC